TGAAGAATCATGTGACACTGAAGACTGGAGTAATGATGCTCAAAATTCGGTTTTGCATCACAGGAATAATTGCATTTTAAAATATATTAAAATAGAAAAGAGTTATTTTAAATTCTAATAAGATTAAAACAATTTTTTTATCAAATTGGTGAGCATAAGAGACTCTCCAAAACATTTTTAAAAAATCCTACTTTTCCAAACTTTTAGTTAAAGAATGTTTATTCCTTTAAGTTTATATTGAATTTTTCAAAAAGTTTTAAGCTTGCAAACAAGCCCACACTCTCCTCGTTGCTAAGCGGATTGCTTACAAGGTCCATTTGGAAAGTTCTGTTATAAATAAATCAAGCCTATTGCATTACCTCTGAGTTTATTAAACATGGGACTTGGACAGTAATTATTAGATGTTGCCAGAGAAAAGACTGCAAAATGCAATTACATGCTCGCTGGTCACATTTAGAAACACATGCACAGACAAAGGCATGCACTAAAAAACCCAGATGCTCGCACACGCTCTGCGGTAATGAGCTGCACTGGATGGATCGCATTAGCTGCGATTCACACTGAGTAAGTTTGCCAGCTGCTTATACAGAACACAAGGCTTTAAAGAGTCTGGCACTAATCCAACACGAGATCCAGAGAGCGCACCTCATAAATGTTGCATCCGCTTCTTTGCCTGTCACTGTGCTGACACTGTATCCGAGTAAATGTTTATTCGATGGGCCAGGACATGCTGTTGTCAGTGTTGTTGTTCATCACAATGTGCCGTTTACCTGTGCGCGAACTGCATTGTAAATCAGTTATGGCTGAATGGAGGGCATCCGTCTCGGAGACAAAGCTAAACTTGACCGTTGCAGTGCTGCGAGGCGAAACGCGAGGCCAGACACAAGCACTGACGTTGATGTATGAACTGGGAACTTTCCTATTGGATTTGTTGTAAAGCTACTGAATCTGTGGGTTGTTTAACATGACAAATTGGCTGAGTTAGATGTTGCAGTGCAGGTTGAGACCTCATGAAATCAAAATGAGAGTCTAGTCTATTTCTGTTAGCTTTGAGGTTAATCTGTAAGCAAGCATACCTTTAAACGTTTACAAAATTAATGTAGTAGATTTATAGTTTGTATGCATTTTTTGTCCAGTAAAATGGCTTCTAGAAATGCTCTCTACCAATTGCAATCGACTAGCAGTAGTAGTGAATCACAGTGACTCCAGTTTTGTTGTCTGACACAAGTGTGAACACAGATTCTACTTCACGTTTTATGAATAATTATTATCCCAAATCGAAAATATCCCAGAATTCACAGACAACAGAACAGCCTCTCAGCCATAATTCCAAAATACAATTTTTGTCCAATAAAATCTTCGTAGAAATGCTTTCTCCCACTTCCAATCGACTAGCAATAGGAGTAAATCATGTTTTCATAGTGACTCCAGTTTTGTTGTCTGACTCAAGTGTGAACACGGATTCTGCTTCACTTTTTATGAATAATAATTATCCCAAATCGAAAACATCCCCGAAACCACAAAGACAACAGAACCGCCTCTCAGCCAGAATTCCAAAATACATTTTTGTCCAATAAAATCCTCATAGAAATGCTTTCTACCTCTTGCAGTCGACTAGCAATAGGAGTGAATCATGTTTTCATAGCGACTCCAGTTTTGTTGTCTGACTCAAGTGTGAACACGGATTCTACTTCACATTTTATGAATAATTATTATCCCAAATCTAAAGATATCCCAGAAATTACAAATACAACAGTACCGCTTGAACTCCAAAATATATTTTTGTCCAATAAAATGCCTTCTAGAAATAGTCTTTACCACTTTAGTCGACTAGCAATAGTAGTGAATAATGATTTTGTCATGTAAACTAAAGCTTTTTTGCTATTTTGGCTAAAAACGTCTTGTTTAAATAAAAAATAATGTCTACACAGGACAGGAAATTATTAGGTGTTTTGTGTGATGTGTGTGTTTTGCCTCATTTTAACTCATTAGTGGAGGAATTGGCCGTAGGAGAAAAATACATGTGGTGTTTCTGAAAGAACAAATGTGGACACTGGAGAATCAAAAAGAGGGAGAAATGGATAAATCAAGGAGAAGAGTGTACAACAGTGTGGATGAAAGAGAATGAGAAGCGGGGAGGGGCTTTTCCTGCTGGGAAACTCATCAGAGATCATTTCCCAAATTTCATTCTTTTTTTACCATCTCTTTTTTTTTGTCTCTAAATTTGTTTTGTTTTTTTGCGTATTGGATTCATTTCATTCCCACAGTGAAACATTGTAGTGTACACAGACGACTGCAGTAGAGCAATTAAAGCACAAATCTGAGCGAGGATGATTAGGAGATTTATATAACAGATTTGAGAGGAGGTGAAAGAAACAAAGAAAATCGGATGCGGAAATACTGATTGAGGTTAAAGATGGTGACTCAACTCAAGTACTTCTGCTGTACTAGTTAATCTAAACAATTCTGCCGTACAAACCGACTTAATTCTTAAAGAATAATTTACCCAAAATTAACATTTGCTGAACATTTAGTCACCCTCAGGCCATTCAAGATGTAGAGGAGTTTGTTTCTTCATCTGAACAGATTTGGAGAAATTTAGCATTACATCACTTTCTCACCAATGGATCCTCTGCAGTGAATGGGTGCCGTCAGAATGAGAGTCCAAACAGCTGATAAAAACATCACAACAATCCACAAGTAATCCACACCACTACAGTTAATAAAATAGCGCCTTGTGAAGTGAAAAGCTGCATGTTTCCTTCTTTCATTCCACTATATGCTCATCATTTTACATTCTTTTCGGTCTAAAACAAAACTTTCAATGTAGGCTTGATGATATGTTGTATATAGATGTTTTTTTTTCAGTAACGGTTTTTGTGTGATTTGATAAAGCCTATAGGCTACTAATAGAGAATTTGCATGAAAAATGTTGCCCTATCTATTCGTTCATTTTGCAAAGTTGCATCTTTTTATCTTTAAAAGTTATTGTGGTAATTTTTTATATTTGAAGAAGTGCTTGTAAGTGGGGCTTACAAGTAAAACAATCTCATTTGGAGCTGAACTTAACCTTGTTTGAATGAGGTGTTTTTGTGCAATACTCATGCTTTTCCCTCCTACCACACAAGGCTTTTTGTCCGGTGTGAAACATTTACTATTTTAGTATTTATTAATATTTTAAATATATATATATATTTTTTATAATTGTAATTTTAGTTTATGTTTGTATGTTTGTCATGTGATTTTATCTTTTTATTAGTTTTTTAATATTTGTGTCTAGCTTTGATTTTTTATTTCAATGCAATTTAATTTAGTAAATTTAGTACTTCAACCTATTTCATTTCAGCAGTCTAATTTAAGATTTTAAAGTTTGCGTTTTTTGAATTCATCTCATATTTTGTTATTTTGTTACATTTCAGCTTTATTTCAGTTAATGAAAACAATTTTTAATAGTTTTAGTTTTAGCAACCCTTTATGCTTCTCTTACTTGTTTCTTTTTATTCATTAATTCAAACACTTGAATCCCCATGTGTCTTATTTTAAATACCACAATCAGAGTTTATATTTTTACATTAGGCAAACCTCTATTCATTTTGATTGTTTATTAAAGCTACTAAAGTTTCCAGCCAGGAGCAGTGAGTGATTTTGTGTTTTTCTTGACAGTGGTGTTTGATAAGTACTAACCACACAATACAGCATGTAGCTTTCATTTCATTTGCACTGCAACTGCACACATAGTTACTATGTTACTTGACAATCGTCTAAGATTAGAATAATGCAGTGTATGATTTGGTGGAAAAGTTGTTTTTATCCCATTAAATTTCACTTCTAGTCTACTTTGGTGTCTTTCATCAAATTGATGTTGCCGCTGCTTCAAGTCATGCCTAATAACACCCTGTACCCGTGGTAAAATCATAGCACTTTAGCCGCTGACAACATGTCAACGAACAACACAGAATAAGAGCGTGTGATGGTTTCGCACAGAATGGGAAAGAGGGCTGGAGAATCTGGATGAGACAGTGGTTGAGCAGCCGTGGGCAGCAGTTTGTGATGTTTCTTTTTGCTCACACTCCCCACAGTCTTGGCCTTCTCTTGCATTTTTTTTAGTTTTCTCGCAATTTCATTGGTCATTGCTGGTCGGTTGCTATAGTTTGACTAGTTGCAGTGTGTTTCACGTGAG